ATTTTTGATATTTTTAAAAATTCAGCTCTCCAAATCACAGTAATAAAATATCTTTTGCACTCAATCTGTCTTTGGGGTTTACCAAGCTCTCTCTGGGCAATGCCAACAATAAGTGTGCTCACCTTACAAAATGAGAAAGCTAGAAATCAGTAGGTATGTTTGTCATTCTTCATGTTTTCAATGTGCTCAGGATTATTGTGAGAGCTGTTCAACTTATCAAACTCACACTGGGAGAAGACTAGCAAAACCAAAAGAGACACTCAACTTTTCCAGTTTAATTATATACATGTAAAATGATATCAATATGAATGCATTTATGCAAATGTGGGCTTTTCATGGTGCATAGAAGCAAAATTATGTTCATGTATAAAGACTGGTAGAAGAACTGTCAAAAATTCATATTCAAAACCCATTTTATATCCAAGTTTAAATATAATTTTTATTTATGATCACTGTTTGGTCAATTTTTCGCACAATGTGAGTCATTCAATTATAAAAAGTGACTCAAAATCTGTTCCCGAATTTATAAGAAGACATCCGTGAAACTACCTCAGACCGAAAGGCATTCGGGTAAGCTTAAACTCACTGGCCAAGGTTGTTATGGATGACAGACTGAATGGAGCTAGACTTCCTCTTTGTAGGTTAAGGTATAGTCTGTGTGATCGCTAATACATCCTATTTTACCATGATTTATGCCTTGGACCAAGTGGAAAAGTCAATACAAAAAATTAATAAAAATGCCACCTGACTTTATAAAGTAGACTGGTGGTTTGGGGGATTTGTTAAGCTGTCTGGGTGAGTTGCTGACCCAAGGGGGAGAGGGGTTGAAGCCAACTTTGCAGATTGGCCTCATCCTGCTGCTTGGAACCCAGTTAACGGTAACTCTAATTAAACACTGTATGGGCAAATTGAATGGATTTTTGTCAATGTCTGTTGGCCATGTTAGAATTACAGTGGCGGACAGAATAGTATATTCATGGATAGGTTTGTTAGACACAAACACAGTCAAGAAAAGAGAAATGAATATTTTTGGAAGACAAATTTCCATGTGATTCTTGCAGTTCTGTCCATTGTTTAGACGATCCTTTTAAGGATGTCTGTATAGAAAATGTGTTGGAAGATACAGATAAGGTCTCACTCAAGATGAAGGGGAAATATTTACTACTGTCCAATATAGTAAATATTGTCTTCTTCTGGTACAAAGGATAGCTCTGTTTGTGGTCCATTTAAAAGGAGTTTGGTTTCCTATTTTTGAGTTTTCTCAGCTGTTACACAGCCCACCATGTATCGCACTCACCAGAGTCCCTCTGAGTTGCCCCATGAGGCGGGGACATGAGAAACTCACACAAACATGAGGCTGTCGCTGCCTCCTGTGCTGTGATCAGTCTTTTGTCTCTGTCCCAGCAATCTTGTGTTTTCTGTCCTCATCCATAAAACTGTGGCAAGTTAGCTTATTAGCTTACAAGTATGGTATAAAACCTCAAATATTTCATAGTTCTTGATACTGACCAGTTCTCTTAAAAAAAAAAAGTACTACATCAAACTAAACAGCTTCTGCACAGAAAAAGAAACAAATATCAAAATGAAAAGAGAACCCACTATATGGGAGAGCATAATTTCCAATGATACATCAAATAAGGGGTTAATTTCCAAAATATATAGAGTACTCATACAACTCAATAAAAGGAAGACAAATAATCCAATTAAATGGGGCAGAGGACCTAAACAGATACTTCTTTATACAAATGGCCAAGAAAGATAAGAAAAAATGCTCAACTTCACTGATAATCAGAGAGATGCAAATTAAAATGACTATGAGGTATCACCTCACACCTGTCAGAATGGCTGCCATCAACAAATCATCACATCACAAGTGCTGGCGAGGGTGTGGAGAAAAGGGGACTATAATATATAGCTGGTGGGAATGCAGACTGGTGCAGTCACTATGGAAAACAATATGGTATTTCCTCAGAAAATTAAAAATTGACCCAGTGATCCCTCTTCTAAGAATATATCCTAAGAAGCCTGAAACAACAATCAGAAAGAATATATGTACCCTTATGCTCATAGCAGCACTATTTACAATATCTAAGATCTGGAAACAGCCCAACTGTCTATCAGTAGATGAGTGGATAAAAAAAAAAGCTGTGGTATATATACACAATGGAATACTATGCAGCTGTAAGAAAGAAATATCTCTTATCCTTTGAGATGGCATGGAGGGACGTGCAGAGTATTATGCTAAGCAAAATAAGCCAGTCAGAGAAAGGCAAGTATCACATGATCTCACTTATTTGTGGAATATAATGAACAAAATAAAATGTTGAACAAAATAGACCCAGAGATATAGAAGTAGGGTTCAGACTGACAAACCAGAGGTGTGGGGACATAAACCAAAGAACTTATGCATATAAGCATAATCACTGAACACAGATAACAATGACAGGGTGTGTATGGGGGGGAATGGGAGGAAGGTGTCGTCAATGGGGAGAAAAGGAAAAACATCTGTAACAAAAAGTAATTAATTTAAGAAAAAGAACATGAAAGACAAAGAAAATCTGAGGATTTGTTTCATTAAAAGGGACATGACAGCCCAGCTGGTGTGGCTCAGTGGTTGAGCATTGACCCATGCACCATGAGGTTGTTGGTTTGATTCCCCGTCAGGGCACATGTTCAGGTTGTAGACCAAATCCCCAGTGGGGGGCATGCAGGAAGCGGCCAATTGATGTTTTCTCTCATCTATGTGTTTCTATCTCTCTCGTCCTCTCTCTCTAAAAATCAATAAAGAAAATAATTTTTTTAAAGAGACATGACAATAAATTCAGTGTATCCTCCTGGATTGGATTTTAGTACATATGAAATATTACTGAGGCACTTGGTGAAACTGGAATAAGGCACGCCCATTAGATAATAGCATTGTACCAGTGATAATTTCCAGAATGTGATCATTGTTCTGTGTTGCATGGAAATACACACAGACATATTTTGAGGTAAAATAAATCATATCTGCAATTTATTCTTAAAAGTTTAAGAAACATATATAAAGAAGAGAGAAAGAAACCAAGAAATAATGAAAAAATAATAGAACCAGTGTGATAGATGTTTATATTTGTAAAATCTAGGTGAAAGGTATAGAGGAATTTCTTACATTAGTTTTGTGACTTTTTGTAAGTCTAAAATTATTTTTAAATAAAGATTTTGAAGTAGGCAGTGGAAAAATCCAAAGTAGACAATAACATGATTATCTATATACATAATATTTTTTTAAAAAATTGTATTGCTTTTAGAGAGAGGGAAAGGGAGAGGGAGAGAGAGATAGAAACATCAATGAGAGAGAACATCAATCGGACACCTCCTGCATGCCCCCACAGGGGATTGGCCCACAACCCAGGCATGTGCCCTTACTGGGAACCCAACTGGGACCTCTCAGTCCATGGGATGATGCTCAGTCCACTGAGCCACACCAGCTGGGCTGATTTCTTCAATAAATAAATTGCAAGGAAAAAGTTGATGTAGAGGACCTGTTATTTAAAAGTAACTTAAAGATACATCAACCAATTGCAATAGATTAACATTATTATATCTTAAGACCCCAAATACTAACAGCCATCTTGAGATAGAAGAAAAAAGTTGGAGGAATCACACTACCTTATATCAAACTATACTGCAAGGCCATAGCAATAAAAACAGCATGATACTGGCATAAAAAACAGACATAAAAATCAATGGAACAGAACATAGAGCCCAGAAATAAATCCATATATTTATAGTCATTGAATATTAGACAAAAAAGGCAAGAACATACAGTGACTAAGGATAGTCTACTCAATAAATGGTGTTGGAAAATTGGACAGATACATTGTAACTAGACTACCTTCTTACACCACACACAAGAATAAACTAAAACATACTAAATTTCTTCAAGTATGATAAAATCAGGTAAGTTTGAACATTGACTAAATATTTGATGATACTTAATGTTTAGGTATAATATACTCTTGTAGGTATATGTAAAGAAAAGTTTCATTTTTATCTTAGAGATACATGTGGAAATATTTACAGATGGAATTCATTTCGAAATAACTTGGTGGTGGTGTAGAACAAATGTAGTACAACTAAACCATCAAGAATAACTGTAAGTTCTTAATTGCTAAAGCAAAGTAATGGCCATATGGGAGTTCATTGTACTATGTTAAAATTTTGCATATGCTTGAAAGTTGCATAATATATAAACTTAAATATCTTTGTATGGAAATGCAAATGGGGCAAAGAGAGCCCAGACAATCTTTAAAAAGAACAATGTGCTAGGACTCACTTACTAGATTAGATGCAAAACTTATTAAGATGACTATTTAAAACAATGTGGTATTAAGGTAAGGATAGACATGTATCAAGAAACATTCCCTCCATATACAAGCAATTAATATATGTTTTTGAAAAAGCACTTTAGATGTGTGGGGAAAGGACTATTTTGCAAAAAATGAGATATGGTATTGGTTAATTTGATATCCATATGGGAAAAAATTACATTTTACTCCTCCCTCTCAATAGACACACACATACACAAATCGATTCCAATGAATTGTGTATCTAAATGTGAAAAATAAAACTCTAAAGGATAGCAGAATATTTTTATAGGCGTAAGGTGGGAAATATTTGTTAAATATGGCACAAAAATATTGACATAAATGAATAGATGAATAAATTGATTTAGGTTTAAATGAAGTACTTCCATCTCTCAAAAGTTACCATTAAAATGGTTAAAAAGGCAAGCCTCAGAGTGGTATGCAATAATAAATCAAAATAGGGCTTCTGTGAAAAAATATATAAGAAACTCTTACAGATACAAAAGAAAAAATTGATAATGTAATTTTTAAAATGGGCAAGAAACGCAAATGTACAGTTCAAAAACAACAACAACAACAACAACCAGGATGTCCCAAATGGTTCATAAACATGTCAAAAATTCTTTAACTTATTTAGGCATCTTGGCCACCGACATGCCATCCAGACAGAGGAAGACCTGGAAACTTTGGAGCCACGTAAGCCACGGCCACGGCCACATGGGCAAGCACAGGAAGCCCCCGGGGGGCCGAGGTAATGCTGGTGGCTTGCGTCATCACAGAATCAGCTTCGACAAATCTCACCCAGGTTACTTCAGAAAAGTTGGTATGAGGCATTACCACTTAAAGAGGAACCAGAGCTTCTGCCCAATTGTCAACCTTGATAAATTGTGGACCTTGGTCAGTGAACAGACGTGGGTAAATGCTGCCAAAAACAAGACTGCAGCTGCTCCTATCATTGATGTGGTGCGATCGGGCTACTACAAATTTCTGGGGAAGGGAATGCTCCCAAAGCAGCCTGTCATTGTGAAGGCCAAATTCTTCAGCAGAAGAGCTGAAGAGAAGATTAAGGGAGTTGGTGGAGCCTGTCTCCTGGTAGCTTGAAGCCGCATGGAGGGAAGTTCCCAAAAGCAGCTTGTAAATTCTTCAGCAGAAATGCTGAGGAGGATATGAAGGTATTGGCAAGGCTGAAGAGCTGAGAAAATTGATGGTGTTGGTGGAGTCACATGGAGGGGAGTTCATTAAAATGTCCACAAGTGCAAAAAAAAAAAAAAATTAACTTATTTAGTTATGAGATAAATGAAAAGCAAACTATGATCAAATAATCCACTGGAATGCTTAAAGTACAAGTGACTAATAACACTTACGGTGGACAACCATGTCAACCAAAGGAATTGCTATGCATTGCTAATGGAAGATTAAACGAGTACTACCACTTTGGAAAAGTTTGGCAGTGTCCACTGAGGTGGAACATATACTACTCTCTTTTCTTCGTCATCATGTACTAAACTGAAATATGAGCACATATTAACCAAAAGTCAGGTTAACAAAAACGTTTAAAGGACATGACGTGAAATAGCTAGAACCTGCAAAGAGCTCCAATGTCCATGAGCATTATTTCAATAAATGACCCAAAGGAATTCTACACTACAAAGCAATGAAATTAAGCTACTGCCTCACTCAATGACATAGATGAATCTCATTTATAATGTGAGGGAAAACAAAGAGAAACAATATAATGTGAATATATGATTCCAGGTTATGGACAGTTCAAAAGCAGGCAAATATAATATATGGTGCTAGAAGTTAGGATAGTGATGGCCGTTAGAGACGATGGGGGACCAATGATTAGGTGCGGACATAAAGGTCCTCTTAGGCACAGATAATGTTCCAGCCCTTGCTGTGCGTGAGAGTTATACAGAGTCGTTTCCTTTTTGACAATCCTTTGAGTTTTTACTTCTGACTTGTTTGACCTGATAGATGTACTTTATACTTAAGGGAAAACATTAAATATGCAAACCTGCACACCAGCCAAAAGTCTAGCTTTTTTTCCCTTCAATTTTAGACGAAAATGACTGAGGTAGCTAGCCTTATTATGGCAGAATCCCCAAATCAGAGCATAATACCATTCACAGTAATAATTGAAATTGCTATTTTATTATTCATCATCTTGAAAATAACAAATATGTAGTATTTACTAGGCATTAGTACTATGCTCATTCTTTCTAGATTATCTCATTTAATACCCCCAGTCCAAGTCAGATAATGTGAGTACTACAATTATTTTTCTCATTTTCAGGTAGAGAAAGTGTGACTTAGATGGGGTAAGTTCATGATCACAGTCTAGATACGACTGTCATGGAGACTGTCCTACTCTGTACCCCTTGAGCACATCCACAGTGCTACACTGACTTCAACTACAACCTTCCAGATGTGGGTGTCTGTCATCCCCTGGAAGGAAAAAAAAAAACAGAGAAGCTAATTCACAGTATTACCCCAAAGCTAGAGTAAACTGAGCTTTGATAAGCAATTGCTAAGCAAAGGGATATTAGCAATAACATTGCATTTTTTTTTTTGCAGGAGTGAGGAGACTGCATCTGGTCAGAGCAGGTCATTAAGCTCAAGCAAAAGTTCACTGAAGCTAAGGCTCCTATTGTTTATCTCACAGAGTAACTGGAGGGTTTTCCAGAAAGTGTGGAGCAAAAGGTAAATTACCTAGTGGAAATGTCAGCAGGACGGAATTGCACACTGGGGCCTTTTTCATGTACAATTGACAACAGCTAAAAATAAATAGAACATAGCAATGGCTCCCCACGTTTCCGGAGCCCCAGGATGCTACTTTCATTTTAATGACTGAAAAATATGTTTAACTTTTTTCTGTTTTCAGACTGATATTCAGGGACACAGGAAATGCACTACTCAATATTTTGCTGCCCTAGCTTCAGAAAAAGGGCTGTCCTTAATAATTAGTACTAAGAGACTGGGTTCACCATTAAGAGTGCAAGACATTTGAGTTGTTTTATCATTAGAAGTGAAGACATGTCATCTGCCACCACATTCCCTTCCAACTTCCCAGTGATAGACATGAAGGTAAACCTTCTGGCCAAGGGAAAGGTGTACAGTTAGTGGTCATAAAATGGAATAAAATTAAACAGTGTCTGTGAGAAGCAATTTTGTGATGGTGCCAAGTGGCCAGGAATTGGAAGAGAAATGGGAAGGAAGAGGCAATAAACTAATGATGAAAAATAATGTTGTCCTAGTGAGAAGTTGAAACCAAAATAATAAGCACAAATGTTTCCGGGGTCCATCACAAAAAGAAAAACCTTAGGGAAATACTGAAATTATTTTGCATTTGGGTTCCTTGAAGATAACACCCACGCTATGCTTTTGTGGGGGTTTTCTTTTCCTTCCCATAGTGCTTTGCACATTTTGTCATATTTCGTGACATCAAATTCAACCAATACCTTTTTATTTGTTGCTGCCTGCGATATGTTTCTTAGAAAAAAAAATATTATTAAAGGAGGCAAAAGCTGCCATTTCTCGTTCTGAAAAGGTGGACTGTGCTCAGGACTTGATGTGCTTCCCCTCAATTAATCCCCACAGTAAATTAGGAACTAGTATTGTCCAAGTTTTATACATAAGATCAGGAAGTCACAGAGACATTAAGGAAGTCTCTGGGATTCCACAAGAGAAGGCCAAAGCTGGGGTTGAACCAGCTCTCTTTACCTGCAGTCTGAAAGGGCCATCAGGTAGATACATGTTGAACAGTTTGGGGTTTCTAGTCCATGATGGAAAATAATGGACAAAAGATCCTTAGCAAAAGGTGTTTATTGATACCTTTAGAACATATGTCTAGCCAATTGACATTATATTTATAGAACTTAATGCCAGAAAAATGCTAGACGAAATTTAATCTACCTTTCTCTGCACTGTAGAAAAAAATAATTCACCAGGGAAGGATTAATCTGCCATAATAGGAATAGATCTAAGCAGTAGAAGAGTCACACACAGCTAATCAACTTTATTGTTTTTATTTCCTATAGAATCACTTATATAGCTATAATAAAAAAATTCTGATAAAAACAACATTCGCATTATTGCCATTAGATATTTGTTAAACAGCTACTATATGTAAGAACTTTGAGAATATAGCTGCCGGACAACCACTGGGAAAACCAATTAATATGAAAAAAACGAGTTCTCCTATGAACAGTTTGTGCTGAAATCACAAGGACATTTTAGTACAGAAGACCTAGTGGTTAATACAGAAAAGAAGACCAACAAATTAGGTAAACACAGAAAATTTGATTTGGGAATGGTTCTCAGATACTAAGTATGTGATGTTATCTACTTAGGTCATTAGAGAGCATCCATGGCTAAAACAGCAGACCTCAGAAGGTAAGTCATGAAGGAATCAGAGGAGAGGTAGAGAAGTAGAAACCAGGGATACAGAAGTTAGGGGACAACATTCCTAAAAATGGCAGAATGTGGAAACAATATTAATGTGAATTAGGAACTATGAGAGATAATTCCAAATTCTAGTTCTATATTTGGACTAACCACTTTGGTTCCCTGGGCTCCATTTTCTATGAGTAAAATAGAAATGTTAGATTATGTAATTTCTCTGACTTCTCTTCACTCTTCCATATGAGATATTTTATGATTTTAAGAATGGGAGAGGTCAATTGCATTCAAAGCCCTAAAGAAGGAGAAGAGAGTGTAGCACATTCAATTACATTAGAAAAAAATGCATTTGTGAACTTTTTAAAAATGGCCAGGTTGCCAACACTAAAATGGAATGGATGGTAAACCATCATATCCGAATTATAAGTAATTGGGGTAATCTCATCTAAAGTATGCTAGACACCAAACCCACAGAGAGGGCAAAGAGAAATTACCATGTCTAATTCAGAAAGTCAGTCCAGGAGGTCAAGAATAAATATGACCACAATCTAAAGAAGCTATGAATAAAGAAAGCCAAAGAAATAGTACTCTGGGACAGAAGAAAATCAGGAAGGGAACCAAAATAAGCACTTGGGAGAGATCAACATAAATTTAGTTGCACATCTGCACAGGGAGAATGGCAAGATGGATAGCTGTGGCCTAAAGCAGGCTACTGGCTTGAAGAGCGGATCTCTGAGGCGTGCGCTATGCAGCTTGTTAAAGAGCTTTTCTTGTACACAGATCCTGCCACATGGACAAGACTCCAGAAATACTAGATCATCTATTCTAATTCTTCAAACTCCAATAGAGCAGAGTCTATCTTATGGGCATAGCATGGCTTAAGGTTATGTTTTTGAGAATTTCATGGTGGGTTCAATTATGTTCTGTAAACTCTATTTAAAAAGGCAGGGTAAAGACCAACATAATTGAGAAAATTATCTTTTTGGAAAATGCTAATTATTTTAAGGTTTCATAACAAGGCAGTGACCTTCAGCCATCTGGAAAATCAAATTATGCGGAACACATCATGGTGGAGAAACAAGATAATACATACATTGCATCTTCCAAGGCATCAAATGGTGGTTCCCATAAAATATTTCAAGGAACTGACAAATTCACCTGAATTTCTTCACCCACAGAACATATGTTTAAAGCTTACCTTGTGCCTATTTGGGTGTTTGTTTTCTAATTGGTATGCAACTTTTTCTCTGCCTCCTCTGATAGTTATTCAAAGGCTGTTGCATACTCATTTTCAGATGCTTTCTTCCTGCCTTGGACCAATGAAGCAATAAATAAGGAGGGAAAAATAAAGATAGGTCTCTCTAAACAGCATCAGAACGGTGGTGCAGGAAATAGAAAGCAACTCCCAGAAGAAGCAAATGCATTCATAGCAAATTCCACCAGCAACCGAGTGGTGTCACCCAGCTAATTATACGTAATTGTCCCCTATATTGAAACAATAAATAATGTGAGAGGCCAGTGCTGCTTGCTGGAGATTACAGCTACATAAATAGAAGGAAAACAAATGAGGAACAGCTTAAAATAGGTGACACATAATAAAATCGTTGTCATAGGCATTTTATAGTACTGCCCACTGACCAATTTTTCTAAAGGCATCCATTGAATGTTATATGTAGGAAAAATGGAAAAGCAAAACAGAAGTTGTATATTTTTCAAATTCTGCAGTGACTCTGAGCATGCCACCTAGTAGTATGAATAAGCAGCCCAAACCACCGTTAATATTTTGATCTCATTATCCTGGCCAGGAGTAATAATATATCACA